GTATGCAGTCAACTCTCTTTGCCTTCTCTTTTAAAACATCTCAACTGCAGATATTAATAAACACTAAGCCCTAGCCTTTCTTTTATTGCCGTCTTGCCACTATGATGCCTCCGTTAACACCCTTTTCAAATGCTTCATGATCCATAGAACCTGAAATATGACATTAACACTCGACTTCTTCTATCTGTTTCTTGCTCTTGTAGGATGAACGCTTCAAGTCTTATCCACGGCCTGGAGAAGAGTTCACCCAGAGAAAAGCTAGAAAACACCCCACCAGATACCAGGTAAGATGGAGACCGAACTGGATACAGAGAGCACAGGATGTGTGGAGTGATAAGGAGACAAGACTTAAAATTTTGATGGAGGCAAGAAAGGAATCAAATGGGAGACAAACAGACAGCATAAGGAATATGTAAGAGAATCGTATTAGATGGGAGAGCAAGGTTTGCTGCAGGGTGATGACAGTGAAGGAGAAAGGAGAGGGAAGCAATGAGGAAATTCTGACACAGAAGAAAGAAGAAAGAAGGTGTGAGGAAGACACAGAGATAAGGTAGAGATGGTGGAGAGGAAGAAATCTCTCAAGTTTCAATGGAAGGGCACTGACTGAAAGGAAGAGGTAAAAAGAGAAGAGAGAGAAACAGGGTAAGGCTGAAAATTCCTCTAATGAGCTGTTTGAAAGAGATCGAAGGTAGGCACTCAGTAAATGAGCTCAAAGTATAACACTGAGAAGGGGAAAGATGCTTTCCACCTTAGTCTGTTCTTCACCTCTCCCCTGAGGGAAATCTAGCTTCCATGATAGGCTGACTCCACTTTTGTCTTAAGCCTCCTATTTTGTGTGTTTTTTACTAGACTACACTACACACACCCACACACAAAAGTGAGATGTCAATTGGTGTGGTGTGCATGTATGCTACATGTGGGGTGACCAGTACTGACCCATGTTCACAGTCCCTACATGCAGAAATTGACAGCTTGAAGCTTGGAAACAGTTGCAGCAGATCCCTGTTGGCCACAGATTCTCAGTGTCTCACTTACTATCTCAAAGGCACAGTACTCACTCACTGTCCTCACAGCTTTGTGCTTATGTTTACACACAAGCATGGATGAGTTTTGAAATATGCAATCAGAGAAGTTTACTGGGTAAATATAGCATCCGTCGTCACATCCCCTTGACACGTCCTCTTTGTCTAATCTTCTTTTTCTTCTCTTTCTCATAGAAGATCATGAAGCGCCTGATTAAGCGTTATGTGCTTAAGGCTCAAGTGGACAGAGAGAGTGATGAAGTTAATGAAGGTAAAAATTCCCTCTTCATTAAAGCCCACTTTCATTGTGTCATTATGTGCTTAAGGAACACTGGGTTCGGAAAGTTTTCAGACGCTTTCAACTTTTCTGCATATTGGTATGTATAAAAATGTCTTAATAGATTCAGTTCACTTAAAAAATATAAATGGAGTTGTAACACTTTAAAAAGACAGAGTAAAAATGCTTGTGCGTGTGTGTGTGTGTGTGTGTGTGTGTGTGTGTGTGTGTGTGTGTGTGTGTGTGTGTGTGTATAAATTAAAAAATAAAAGGTTAAAATATGCTTTTAACATAAGTATTCGGAGTGTGGAGAGGTTTGCACAAGGTTGGCATACCATTATTTTGGAAAATTTCCAACAAGGTTGGATGGGGGAGCCACTTTCAGGTGTCTCTGTACTCCTAAGTCTTTGTTGAAGTAAAGCATCCCCACAGTATGATGCTCCCCCATCATGTTTGGCTGTAGGGATGGTATTAATGAGGGAACACTCAGTGCCTGGTTTCCTATACACACTCCACTAGGAATTTCAGCCAGTAGTTTAATCATCCTGTCATCAGACCAGAGGAGTTTGCTTTGCATGGTCAGAAATACATCCAGGTGCCTTTTGGCAAACTCCCCACAGGCTGCTATGTGCCTTTTAGTGAGGAATGGCTTCTGTTTGGCCAATCTACAACAAAAGCCTAATTGGTGGCTGCTGCATTGAATTTGTCTTGTAAAGTTATCCCATCTTTGCAAAGGAGCTCTGGAACTCATTAATAGTGATCACCTGATTTCTGGTTACGTGTTGCATCGGGGCCCTTTCATCTCTCATTACTCTGTTTGGCTAAGTGGGCAGATCTAAAGAGACTGTTCATACGTTTTCAACTTTTCTCCATTAGAGAACAATGAACACTTTGAATGCTGCAGAAAATTTCTTGGATCCTCCCCCAATTGTTACTTTAGACAGGCTTTTGTGATGATTGTGCAGACAGTTCTGTGAACATAGTGGGTTGGCTTTCACTTTGACACACCATTAACTGTGAGACCTTATGTACTAATTATTTCAGGTGAATTAGGCGCAACTGTCTTCGTTTTAGTTGCAGCAACATTTGAAGCCTAAAAAAAATTCAAAATTTAATATTCACCCCTTAGTTTTATTAGATTGAAAAATGGCTTTGTCACCGTGGAGTATTGTGTGTTTACTGAAGAAAGAAAAACGAGCCTAATAACTTTTTAGATGAAACTGAAGCTTTGAAAAGGCTTTTAAATTTTCTCAATGGACTGGGAGGGACAAGAGTTATGCGTTACTGCGTTTGAGACTGCACTGTGTGTACTTCAGTGTAAAATGATGTCATTGCTCACATGGATCAACAGTTTTTGTGTGATCCTGTAGGTTACTGCCTACCTGCATGCATGTCTTTGATCATTCGTACTAATGTGCCCTAATTCCTGTGCCATACCTCAGCTCTTCTTTTGTACCTGTGTCCGTGTGTGACTGTGTTGTAGGCGAGCTGAAGGAGATCAAGCAAGACATTTCCAGCCTCCGCTATGAACTCCTGGAGGAGAAGTCCCAGGCCGCAGGCGAGCTGGCTCTGCTTATCCAGCAACTTGGCGACAAGTTTGGCAAGAACACCATGAGACACTGACAGGACTTGCAAGAAGAGATGGGGAGAATGTGAGAAAGGGTGAAATCAGGAAGAGGTTGGGGGTGGGGGGGTTGGAAGCAGAAAGCTGGGTCAGCACAGGTATTTTTAAGGCCTTGATAGTACAAGAGGGAGAGAAAAGAGACAGGGGAAGTAGGATGTTTATGAGCTAGACAGGATGAATGGAGGGTAGTGGAAGAAAAACATGACATAAAGAAACTGGGCAGAGTGAAACAGCTGATTTAGTTATGCAAGGACACAATTAGGGAGGAATGTGAAAAGCAGATTGTGAACACAAGAGGGTCAGAGGTGAAGTAAAGCGAGTCAGAGGGGTTTTGTGCTGACAGTTCAATTGTAATTAAAGGCAAAGTCTTTCACGAGGCGCGAGAAAGGAGAGGAAGAAAGAGCCTCGCAGGTTGGGTGGGAGGCAGAGGGAGACGAATGAGGCGGAAAACACAACTTTCATGAGATATGACGAGGCACCACGGGGCATAAGACTGAGGCAGTAAAAGCCCCCACACCCACTGCCAAGATATATCAATGTATCACCAACTCGGAGAGGGAAACCCAGAAACGGGATGACACAGAGAGAGGGCTGGAGGGGGAGAGGAACAAGTGAGAAAAATATCTTTAAAAAAAAAACCTGCCACTGTTATTTACACCGGAGAGGCTGGCATTGCTTCTGAGTCCTCACTTTGTTGGGGCAAGCATAGATGCCTGTGACAATACTGCACACACCTTTATACAGCAGGCTGTCTAATTAATGCATATCCATTCATAGTGCACAACCTATGATCAGGACTCTATGGATTCAGGAAAAATGCACCTATTTAAAAGTGATTAAATAAACCACTGAAATATTAAACATTATCTTATTATCTTAATGTCATTTAGAATTCTGTCCTCATAGCACAGACAGTATTAGGTCCTGCAGATCCAGAAGATCCATGCTAGAACAAAATGACTGTAATTTAAGAAAAAAAAAATCCACTCAGACAGTTTCTTCTTTACCTCATTCATGCTGCCAGAAAAGAAAATGACAGTTAGAATAAACAGAAACTAATCTGAGGCTTTCACAATACCTCTCTTCCATTCTTTAAAATCGAGAGGGCCATTCTTGTTTCAACAACTTTAAACCAGCGTGTTGAAGTATGGCCGAGATAATTGCTTCCCCTCTCCACTGTGTGTTTGGAGCACTAAGTGTCTCGAGTTTTCTAAAATGGTAACAAAAAAATGACAGGTCCGCGATGTTTACAACTCTAAATTCAGAAGGTCAGCACTGAGGTTAAGCCCATGAAGGTAGCAAAACTGAGTCTGCTCCAGGGCAGCCAGACATTTGTGAGGAGAGAAAATCTCCGAGATGCAGAGATATATTTATGTATGCAGTGATCTGGCAGTAAAACTGGAATTCAGCTGCAGAAGCTGTGCAGAGTTATTTTATGGTCTTTATTTTATTTTGGAGACATATTCGACATACAACAGCATAAACTAAAGTGTTGTGTTAGACATTGGTTATAGCTGAACAATAGTTTAAACAAACAAAATAAAAAAAGTATAAAACAGTTTGAGAAGTTATTAAATCTGGACATTATTGTAGTATATTATATAAATGGGGTGCTAAAATCGATGATGACCTGTGGGATCAGATACATCATCGTTCCCGTTTGTGACTGAGGCCCAGATTTTGATTTAAAGCAAATATGAACATACTAGGCATCCCAAAGCTGAAAGACACACCAGTAGCTCTAGTTAAGAAGCTCCTGTCCTTAAATTCAAGGTTCTTTCTTGAATCCTTGAAAATTATACTTCATTCAAAACATCAACATCCAGTGCTGGCAGTCACACCAATCTGCACATTTTTCCACATTTAAGTTTAGAGACGCCATGTCATAATCAGTGGGTTAGACTGGTTCCTCCAAGGCTTTTTCTATGAATTCAGAAAATTAGAATATACCGTTCACTTTCATCAATCCTTCTTGAAATTAATCAGATAAAATTTAAATATATTTAAGCTAACGCAGAACTATATTACCATTCTTTTATTGTGTGGCTGGTTACAGTAGTTATTTGCCCTCAGATGGAAGAGTCAAGATGGGCCTATTGCAGCCATCAGCAACAGTGTCATTAGGAATTTTTTTCATGGTTCTACTAATTGTCCTAGCTAGTATGCACTATTTCTCCTGCAAGTAGACATTGCAGGAGTTAGAGGGCTTTTTTAAGGATATTTTCTAATCTCCTGCTACAGAGTAAGTGTTTTTCCTGCTTAAGAACTATAATTGGTTCAGCAGTGTTTATTCACTAGTTCAACACATGAACGCAGCAACTGGCATTAAGAAAAAGAGAGTAAACACTGGTAAATATTAGCCTAGAAAATGTCTCTAGCCTCTATACGAGAGAGGGAATACAGCATGTTTTTAAATTGTCAAAGAAAATCTTTTGTTAGCAGGTCCTCTTAAATTTCTACTTTGCATCCACCACAGAACAAAAGCCACGTAGACAGAAAAGAGGCTGAAACAGGATTGCAGGAAAATAAAAGACCGCAGCAAGAGCTGATGATAAATTACCGACTTGCTGTTGCATCACTTTAGACTTCCTAATAGTGGTCCAAGTTAAACAAATGCTTGAACAAACAACTTTGAAAGTGGGTGTTTGCCAGGCAGAGCCCAGGTAGTTCCCAAAACCATCAAGTCATCTTTGACAGTAAAACCTAAAACCTGCATATATATGTATAATTAAAATGTACAGTAGTGTATGTATATATACATACACTACTGTATAATTTCATTCTTACAGATAGGACTTCATTCTTATAGATAGGGCTTAAACTCGCTAGTAGGAAAATACGACCAAGTATATTTCTAATTCAAATAGATAGTAAGTATTTAATCAGAAGGCTTTAAACATAATTAAAATGCTGTTTTTACGGATATGATTTTTTAATTTGTTTCAGATACATAAAGGCTTTTCAGACAGATTTTCATTTCAATTAAATGGACTCGACCTTATTTCTTTATTTATTTGTATTAGGTGTTAAAGCTGTTAATTAGTTTCCTTTTTGTAGAACCATGCAAATGATGAAAAGACCCACCACCAGGAAGAGAACATTTCCTCAAATACTGTATTTTTAACTTCTACACAAGAATTAATAATTAAATCAAAATCTTGTATGGTATATTGTCATATTTTTGATCCTTAAATTAAACAGAGTAAGCTCTATATTAACTGTTGTTGTTGTTGTTTTTTATTTATTTACCTTGTATGTTTCTGCTTCTGGAATTTAATTATTCAGCATTTGTCTTTACCTTTACCCACTAGTGGATGAGAGGTGCTGGAGCAAGAAAATAAACATGTGGCTGCTGAATTGTTTTGTGCTCCAACAACACTGTTCACAACACATTGAACAGCTGGGAGTTCCCCAGACAGAATGTACACTTTCACACAGTGTGACAAATGTATAATACACATAATATTTTTAATAAAACATATGTATAATGAAATATATCCATATATTTTGTGTTGTGTTGTACACATATATATGAGCACCTCAACATGATAGTCTGCTTTACATCCATCCATCATCCATTGTGTTGACCACTTATCCAACCAGGGTCATACTGAAGCTGGAGCCTTCCCAGCTGACACTGGGTGAAAGGCGGGGACAAGTGATGGACAGGTTGCCACTCTTTCACAGGGATAACATGGAGAGACAGACAACTACTGGCTCCTGGACAGTGGTAGGAAGGGGTGACAGTGATGAGCACTAACAGTGTGCCACCCTTCTGTTTCCACAATTTTTTGTATTTTATGCAGCTTAGCATGCAAACTCATCTAATACGTATTTAATAGTCTTTGCCCACAATTATAGTTAATTATAATGTGATGTCATGGAAACACTAATAACTTAACTCAAAGTCCCTCAGTCAGGTATTAGAGCTTAGCTATAGTGCCAGATTGAGGACATATTAGCCAGATTTCCACCCTCATGGTCCTACTGCCCTCAAACCTCTATAAAAACCCACGTTGCTGTAATGTTTCTTTTGTGATAATGAGCTGCGCTTCAGGAACAGTTTCTTAAAACCACAGCAAAGTCTTACTACTGTAAAAGCGTTACATGAAGCTAATGCTGCCTTGATATAGACCATTTTAGACTGACTTTGAAGAGGGTTTAAAAGCCAAGGAGCCCCACTGTGACTGGGAAATTGGCTTTGCTCTAAGCCGGAGTGTGTGTGTGCTTGTGTTCCTGCACCTATGTGCTGACCTCGCCAGCGCCTCCTGAAAGCTGCCCTCTAAAACGCCACAGCAAACACTCGGTTCCTACATACGTGCAGATGTTTATTAGGCTCCTGTCTTTCCATGATATTCAGTCACCGCTTTCTCTGCACTGTTTCAGGCTGTCACTTTTTTAAAAAAAAAACTTTTACTGCCTCTACTGCAATAATAAAAACGCCAACAAACACCTTTAGTTTTCACTAAAACCTGCCTTAAATGGTCTTCTTTTAGATGACAAACAGCAGATTTTGGTGTCCATGTTTCCACTGAAATGTATTTTTGTGACTATTGAGACACGACAGGGTTATACAGAAGATGTCATTTCAGGAGAAGAAATATTTTGATTAAAAAGTCTTCCATTCATTTTGCCTTTTTCTGCCTGTCAGGATCCTTGTAAAGATTTGTCCTAGACTTCCTTTGTTTTGGGTGATTTTTTTTGTTTGGTCTTTTGCTTCCTTTGTGATTTTGAAGGTTTTGCTCATTTTATGGGACTCCTGTGTTCCCTCTGTGTGTCTGCTTTACTCGGCTTTATTCTGAAGATTAGCTCCTTAAGAGACCTTCTGTGTTTTTACTTCCCTCCTTTTGTTTTTCCCATCCTCATTAGTGTCTGAGTGAGTTTTTGTGTACATGTGTTTTTCCTTCAGTCTTATGTCAGGCTGTCGTTACTAACTTTTGTTGTTAAGTGTTCCCCGTTTTAATTTTCTCCAGCTGGCTCTCTGCATTAAGATGGCTTGTATCGTTTTTACTTTTACCACACCAAGTTTT